ATGACATGTTGGAGCTTAATGATATTATTGGTTTGTTTAATTTCCAACGGCTTGAAATATCATAAATGGAAATTGTTATGAATTTAATGCGTGCAAATATGTGCTCCTTTTGCTGCTGTCGTACTCTTAATTTGTGAGATATTTTCAATAGTAAAAGGAAAAAAAAGAGTAAAAAAATTACCTAGCATGTGAAACTATTATGCCATGATGCAATCTTTAAGGAGTTGTATTTGCACATAATAAATTTCAACATGAATGTGATTTAACTCCAACGGCTAGTAAAATATTAAGTGCATTGGTTATGCCATTATGTGTAAAATATTTTTTATAATCATATATTGTGTTAGTTGATTATTTTTGCTCTCTGACAAATCTTTAGTGAATGCTGTGTTGTCTTACTCATTTAGGAACCATGGAAAATGGTCTATGAAAATTTGACCAAGTGAAAAGACTAAAGAAGAGAGAGCTACCCCATTTCGTCCATGCAACAATTTTGAAAAAAATGGACTTAATATTTGGGTTGATATATTTTGGAAATGTAAGCTAATTTTTTCTTTAAGCTTGTGTGACCAAGGACCCTTTTGTGGTGATGAAAAGTGAGATGAGCAAATATGCTCTTATAAAAATCTTGTGAGCAAAATGAGTTTCTTCATGAACTCAATTATTTGAGAAATGTGAAAAATCACATATTTGAGATGCTCTTAATGTGGGGGATTTTGATATCCCTATATATTATTATTGGTGATGAGACCAATGATGCCTAATTGAGATTTTGCATAGCATTCCTATTATACAATAAGGTGTAATGGTGCTTAAGAAAGTAAATGTGATATGCACTCCTATTATACAATAAGGTATAATGGTGCTTAACAAAATAAATGTGATATGCATTCCTATTATACAATTATGGTATAATGGTGTATGATGGAAAAAATAATAAGGCACTTGAGAAAATGGATATGTGATGGACATTCCTATTGTACAACAAGGTACAATGGTGTTTGAGTTAAAAATTCTTAAATATATGTTTTGACATGTATGGAAAGAAAAAGGTGGTTCACTAGCTCGATATCAAAAATTGTGGTACCATGAATTGAGAAATTGAGAAATATGAATGTGAATTTTATGAGCTAGCAGGCAAGTGGGTTGATGTGAAAAAGTGAGAATAAGAATGAGTTAAATCTCTACGTTACCCAGTATACCACCAACTAGGCCTTTGGCAAAAACAATAGTTGGAGGAAAATCTATGATCATAGTCCAAGGTCTAGTGCTCATCGAGGGGAATGGGATTGAAGCCCAAAGAATGTGGAACTTCCTATGAGGATACCCAACCCAATTCTTGAGAATTTGGGTTTCGAATGGGAAAAACGAATCATAGAGAAGTTGTTGTTGAAAGATGTATCAATATTTAACGAAAAAATTTTTGGTCCCATTCCTAAGGTGAGGATGCATCGATCCCATAACGAATTGAGGGCTGAGTTTTATACTCTTAATGAAATTTGTAACTCATAGAGTGGGGTGTCTTAGTTATGGGAGCATCCTTGACAAATTTCACCTATATGGATGTCGGAGTGGGGCCGCTCCTATGAGAATAGGGCAATTCTCTAGATCATCCATGAATACCAGGATTAGGCACAGAGGCCGTAATGTGCCAGCTTACCAAGCTCAAAGTAACACCTGGATTATAATGTGTGTGATATGGTCTCTTATATCCCCTGAGTAGTCCTAGTTCAAGACTTTGCTCACTAGTGACTTTGGGATAGGAATCATTGACTCACTAAGTAGAGGTTCAAGGCATTGCTACCTCTATTATGCATGATAATCCATCCTTGCCTATATATATTTTTCATCTTCTAAGTGTCTTTTATTTTTAATTAAAATGGAGGGGGAATGTTGGAGATTTTAATTAAAAAAAAAAGTGTCAGTTACCCATGCCCTCTTGCTTTTTAAAAAGAAATGGTACTGTGCGTTTCTTAAAGCATAAAATCAAGTACTGTAACCGG